TTTTCTCTTTACGATGGCGTAAAATTTTTGTACCCTTACGTTAGAAAATTTTTGAAAAAAATGTTAAAATTGTTTATTAATAAAAATAAATCAATAACATTAATCTAGATACCCGAGATCTCAAATTATTACCGTAAATTAAATTTACGTGCAAAATAAAACAAATAAACGAAAAATTAGTGTACATCTCCAATAATTCGAGGTAGTTCGAGGTATTTGACGATCTCGGATATCAAGATTACTGTTATTAAATTTTCTTAATAAGCAATTTTTACATTTTTTCAAAAATTTTCTGATATAATTGTACTAAAATTTTACGTCATCGTAAAGAGAAAAGAAATCTCTATCAAATGAGCCTAACGAAAGGGTACATTGCCATTTAAAAAACTTCAAGTGTTATTCGTTACTCATTTGTTTTCTGAAATAAAAACAATTGAATGCTGTCTTATTATGGCAAATAAAATATTAAACAACTTTTGTATAAAATGTTTTTTTATAAAGTTGATATCTACCAAGATATATATTATATTCCATACATAATGGGCACCTGTATATACATTCAAGGGTTGTAATTACTTTGAACTGGGTACTTGAAATTTTAGTTTCAAGTAAAATTACTTATTACTCCGTAAAAATAATTTATAGCGCTACTTGTACTGATTACTGGGAGTACTTTTCCTTTGCTCTGACTAGAACTAACATAAGATCTAGCCATACTGAGAGATATGCGAATAAACCCGAATTTTCGTAGTGCCAGCACCATTTCGAATTTTCCTAGTGTAATTTTTGCTTAAAACTAACCAATAGCAACCCCTCTTTTTGGCGCTTTAATTTAAAAACACTCCTCAGAATTAAAAAATAAAGTATAGTTAGTATTACCTTCCGGTTGTGTTTGCAAAAATGGTGGTAAATATTGCGTAGTGCTTGCTTTTCTTTCAACACGTTTCTTGGATATATCCTGACATTTATCTTCAAAATCACTATCCATTTCGTTTTTTATTAATGTGTAAGCATAGTCCCTCAAGGAACAAGCTCTATGTCTTATTTGCTTATCCGCGCTAGTTCTAGAAACAACAAAGAATAAAATAAACTCTAAAATGATTAATGAAGACCTACTTAGCTGGGTTATATTCTAAAGCGTTTTGAACAATTAATTCAATATCATTTAAAAAATCTTTAGCGCACTCATATCTATGAAAATCAACTTTCATCATCATAGTCTCCAAGTCCATTGGTTGTTTGATAATGGTTGGATAATCAGGTACTTCTTCAGTATCGACAGGTTTGGTAAACATATAAAATCTAAAACAAACCAAGATGATTAACCAAACTAAAAAGAACGAAAAGAATCGCCTCACAATCTATTGTTTGCTAATTTTTTACACATATCCCTTAAAAATATTCTCAATTCTCTCAATGTGTGTTCTTCAACCTCATAAAGTTTTCGTTCTTGTTCTTTTGATAGTGGAACAGGAGGTGGAGTAGGCGCTTTAGGCAGTTCAAAAGGTGTTTTTGGTCGCTTTCTTGGCGAACGCGGACATTTAATACTCGTATCAATTATAAGAGGTTTAAAGAAATTTTTACGCGACTCTGAAGACGGAGATTTTATTTCGTAAACTTCTTTACGATACGGCGAAAAAATAAACTGCAACTAAAATTTAAAAAAAAATTCTCAGAATACAATTTCTTTTGATTAATTTTAATCAATTTTTACCTCTTCAGATAATTCGCTGTAAATACTATTAGCTGTGGCGAATATTAAAATGGGACTATTCGGTTCCAAACATTCTAATTGATTATTAAAAATAGTTTTAACCGTCTCTGAAACCAAGTTCCACCATTGATCAACACACGGAATGTACAAAACGCTTGGTACGTTACGTTTAACTTCTTGAAATACCTACACATTATTTGTTTTTTTTATGTTTTAGTTAAAACGAGAAAATTTATGTTAAACATAAACTAACTTGTATACATGCTTCTTCAGCACTTCGACCAGTTTCCTGATAAAGTGTCGTTATATCCAAAACATGTACATTTATATGTTCCATACTATGCAAAATTGCGGGGGCCAAATGATTTGTTTGTCCATGATCAGCTGAATCGCCAACAATGATGAATTGAGCTGGTCTAAATCCTGCTGCCAATTTTACTCTTAATTAAAAAAAAAACATATTTAGTATCAATTAAAATTTTTTTAAGCATTTCATTACTTAGCTAAACTTGGATTAGATCCATGCGGAAATAATTTCGTTAATAAACTATGAACTTCTTTTAAAGTTTCATCAAGCAGCGGTTGTAAACTTGGAAGAAGTTTTCGTCCGGTTCTTTGACCACTTCGATGAGAAGACGGCACCAAATATGATTTTGCACGGAGAAAATCCACTTTTTCGATTTTAACTTGTTCCGGATCCAAAAGAAGTTTATGGTCAGAATTATACACTTGAGGATAAGTCCTTCTAAAGCTTTGTATAACCGCTTCCGAACACAACGCTCTTAAATCAGAACCACAATAACCCACAGAGTTCTCCGCCAAATAATTTATCATTTGTTCGCTTGGTTTTGAAGCCCACTTTGAAATGTGCACTTTTATTATTTCCTCTCTTTCCTAAAAAATACAAAAATTAAAACTTGATTTATGTTAATAAGATTTTTAAATCACCGTTTTAGCAGGTAGTGGAAAAAATAACTCTCTATCAAATCGTCCAGGTCTTCTTAAAGCTGGATCGATGGCATCAATACGATTTGTTGCACCAATAACAATAACTTCCCCTCTATTATCTAATCCATCCATCAAAGCTAACAGCGTTGACACAATACTAGCGTGAACTTGATCTTGTCTAGATGAACGAATCGGTGCTAAACCATCGATTTCGTCAAAAAATATTATTGAAGGTTTCATTTCAGCAGCCTATTAAAACAAAATAATAATTAAGTATACAGGGGGGTGTGTCAAATGTCTGAAATATAGCCAATAACTTCGCCATTTGTGGTTTTGAAGAAAAATGTTTCAAATAAAAGTTTCTTTATTAATCGCGACGCATTTTTTGGCGACATTTGCTTGTTTGTATTTGGTTTTTGTTTCGTTGCTATGGCAACCAACATTATTTTAAATGGGATGCATGTTTTTCTTGCATACTTTGATGGAGGATAAATCCCTCTATAGTCTATGCCAACGGTGGCCAAACTGCGGCTTGCGAGCCACATGCGGCTCTTTGAAGGATTATTTGTGGCTCTCGATAAATGTACTCGAGTACCTTTTTTTTTTAATATATTTAATATAATTTCTGTAAAAAAACAGGGCGTCTCCGAAATGCGTGTAAAACGGAAGACCACAGATTCCTTGGCTCAAAATAGGTCAATTTAAGTTGCTTCGTTCGCCGCTAGAGGACTTCAAAGTTAGTAAAAAAATTTCTTTTATTCTTGATAACTCGAAAACGTGTAAATCAATTAAAACCATTTTTTAGAAGTGAGTTCCTAGTAACGTATTTTTATGGTTTTACAAAAAAATATTGAGTAATATCCACTCAATATTTTTTTTTCTGGCCAGACGACGATTATATTATTATAATTTGTGAATAGCCCATTTAAGTAGGCGCCAAAATAACTTCGTTGACAGCTTTCAATGTCAAAAAAATAACAGTTTCAACGATCATGAAAAATTAATGATTTATGGGTATGGTGACACACATTTAATGTAGATTCGCCATTGGTAGCTGTCTTTGGCCGTCCCCTTTTTGAAAGGTTTTTAACACTTGTGGTGTTAAAGAATTTTTTTAATATTTTGGATACTGTGGATTGTGTAATTTGTGTATCCTGGTAAATATTGTTGAACAGTGTGCAAACTTCACTTTGAGTGCGTTTTCTATCACCGTACCCAATACATCATTAATATTTGAATTCTTTATCGGTCGCTTAATTGTGCCATATTTGTTTAATCTGTCAATTTTTTGACATTTAACACACCATTTGACACTTTGATTGTAATTAGCTGATTTAATATTTTCAGAGAACGCATTTTTTTTTGATTTTTTCCTTATACAACCATATGATTTGATATATTCATCGCGTAGAGGGATTTATCCTCTATCAAAATATGCAAAGAAATATATGCATCCCATTTAAAATAACAATGTTGGTTGTCATAGCAACGAAACAAAAAACAATGTAAACAAACAAATATCACCAAAAAATGCGCCACAATTAATAAAGAATTTTTTATTTGAAACATTTTTCTTTAAAATCACAAATGGCGAAGTTATTGGCTATATTCCAGACATTTGACACACCCTGTATAATAACAAGTAATATTTGATCGATTAAGGCCCACTTTTACCACCTCTTGATAAATTTAACCGATAGATAAATTGGCGCTCTTAGCCAATGAGAGCGCTTAAAACCGCTGTAACCATGGTAATTATCTATCGGTTAAATTTATCAAGAGGTGGTAAAAGTGAGCCTAAAACTAAAACTACTATGAGTAATTGTTAATATTAGAACCAACACTATTCAACACCAGGTGACGTGCGGCTAAATCCGAAGGTTTTTACACTCAGTGGCATAAAAAACGCATCACCTAAAATGATGACCAGTTTCAAACTGCAATAACTTTTCAACATATTGGTCGATTTGAATAAGGTTTTTTTTTATTTGAAAGGTCCCTTTGCCAATATTTCTGTAGGTGCCTTCCCCATTTTGGCGCTCTTTAATTTCAGGAATGGTGAATAACGCTAATGCGTGTTTTCTTCATACGGTTTGAAGCTTGCTGTGGGGTACACCGACAAAACAAAATAATTTTAATCATAAGGAGCTTGTAGTCTCGTCTGTTCTGATCACTTCTATTTTTTGTTCAAGTTTCTATTGTTATTAACACCAAAGTTACAAGCTCTAAAAGATAACGCAGCTTGTTCAGCAGTGCCATCAGAAATTAAAGCAAATCATGGACGTCGATGAACTTTAATTTTATTAAACTGTGACAAGTAAATCATTCTTCGAGGCATACTTCGAATCAGGTTTTGAATTTCATTTTGGGGAATCTGGGTCCACTCTTCTTCGAGCGCTATTCGGAGATCATTTAGCGTTTGTATAATGGCACCACGGGCTCTAACTCGTTTCTCTAGCATATCCCACATGTGTTCTATGGGGTTCATTTATATCAGGGCTACGTGCTGGCCATTCCATTCTGCTGATATCTAAATCATCCAGGTATTGGGCCACTGGTTGTATGGGAGCGTGCATTATCGTGCATGAACAAGAAGTTGTCACCAATAAATGGGTCGAAGACAACCACGTCATCAGCCAAAATTGCTTCAATACGCCGATCCGCGTTTAGATTGCCGTTGATAAAGCAAAGCTCAACCAAGCAAACCATTACAGAGCCTCCCTGGTATTGTACTCTTTCAGAGAAGTTACAGTGAGCATAACTTTCTCTCGACCATCTGGAGAGTACAACCCGCACCTCGACTCGTCTGAGAACAGTACATTTCGCCACTCTGCACATGATCCACTAAACATGATCTCGTGTAAATTGTAATCCAGCAATACGATGTTCTCGACGCAATTGTAGTCTAGTTGCTGGTCTCTGTGATCTCAACCCCACATCTTCAAATCTCCTTCTTACTGTGTGTTCACTTATGTTCACCCGACGCACTTGCTCCAAACGATTTCTAATCTCAACTGCTGTGGTATGTCGATTTCGTTACAATATATCGATCGGTTGTGTGGTACGTCTTCTTCTTGACCCAGGTCGTCTGACGAAGGTGCCAGTCTGCCGAAATCTTTGAATGGCGCGAGAATCCATACTCTGTATCAAGCCAAGAACACGAGCAACATAACGAGTGCTGCGTCCATCTTCCACCAAAGCCACTGCCTGAGCAACTTCTGCAAGAGTGAAAGGCATTTTTCTTGTTTAGCAAGAGTGTACGACGTTAACGACACTAAACGTCACTGAAATATTTTCGTCAATTTCCAAGACTTGCTTTAATTTCTGAAGGCGCTGCCGAACAAGCTGCGTTATCTTTTACAGCTTGTAACTTTAGTGTTAACAACAATAGAAACTTGAACAAAAAACTGAAGTAATCAAAACAGACGAGACTACAAGCCCCTTATGGTTAAAATTAGTATTTTTTGTCGGTGCACCCCACAGCAAGCTTCAAAGTGTAGGAAGAAAACACGCATTAGCGTTATTCACCATTGTTAAAATTAATGAGCGCCAAAATGGGGAAGGCGCCTATAGAAATACTGGCAAAGAGTAGACCTTCCAAATAAAAAAACCCTTATTCAAATCGAGAAATACGTTCATAAATTATTACAGTTTGAAACCGGTCATGATTTTAGGTGATGCGTTTTTTATGCCGCTGAGTGTAGTTCTCGGTCTAGTGTTAGTTCGAATTTTGCACTAGCACTATCACCTAAGACCTAGAACTAGAATCATTCGGGTTTAGCCGTCTTGAGAGACGTGCGGCTAAAACCGGATGTTTCTAGTTCTCGGTCTAGTGTTAGTTCGAGTTTTGCGTTAGCACAATCACTAGAATTAACACAAGACCTAGAACTAGAATCATTCGGGTTTAGCCGTCTTGAGAGACGTGCGGCTAAATCCAAATGTTTCTAGTTCTAGGTCTAGTGTTAGTTCTAGTTTTCCACTAGCACTATCACTGGAACTAACACAAGATCTAGAATCATTCGGGTTTAGCCGTCTTGAGAGACGTGCGTCTAAACCCGAATGTTTTTAGTTCTAGGTCTAGTGTTAGTTCTCGTATTAGTTGTTATTCATCGTTAAATTCTTGTATATTTGTCATTCAACTAAAACTAGAACTAGAAACATTCGGGTTTAGTGGTAAAAGTCTTCCTACTTATATTATCATTCATATAATTTATAACAAAAACAGTATCTATAAACGATACTCTCGATAAACATACCTGTTCAAAAAGTAATCTTAACTGCTTTTCCGACTCGCCTATCCACTTGCTTAAAAGATCAGCGCCCTTTCGCATGAAGAAAGCAACTTTTCGGGCCCCAAAACAACATTCATTGGCTAATGCGCGTGCTATTAAAGTTTTTCCCGTTCCCGGCGGCCCATAAAAAAGAACACCACGCGGCGGTTGCACCTGGAATTTCTCGAACACCTCTGGATACATCATGGGTAACAGCACCATCTCTTTCAAACATTGAATGTGCGAGTCCAAACCTCCCACCGAACTAAACCGAACGTTCGAGTCAAGCTTTTCAGGTCCGATAGGAATTATTTTACTGCCGCCCGCGCCTGACTTTAACGGCGGCTCGTTTTTCGAATGCGGCGATTTCGGATTTTTACTATATTTGTTACGAACGCGTTCGTCTTCGTCTGATGTATCGGACGGTGATGGGGACCTTTTTCGACGAAAACGACGACGACTTCGACGGTTGTCTGATCGTGGTGATTGCGATGAAATTTCTCGCATTATGATTGCTGAATTTAAAGATTTTTTAATTTTAGAATATTTGTGATTTTTGGAACTTACGATTTGATGTTTTTGGAACGCGCTCTCTTAAGGCGTAAACTCTTCCTTCTTCTGATGAAGTTGAACTTTCTATTTAAAAACAATTATTATTGATATAAAGAAAAGAAGGGATGAATTATTATTGAATTAAAACGTTGAATATTCCTCATTGTTTTATTTACCTGAAACTTTGCGAATTTGTCTATTTTTTCTTAAACAATAACTATCATCCATAATCCTATTACTTCTTTTTCTAGTAACTCTAGGAGCAACAACATCACTTTCGGATGTCTCCTTGCTTATTTGATCAATTTTCTCATCGCCATCATTGCTGCTTTTATCCATAATACCATTATTTTTTTGTGTTTCTTTTTTTACAATCTTTTCAGGTTTCTTTTCTTCTTCAACAATTAATTCGTCATCAATCCCGTTATTATCTTCAACGTGCACTTTATCTTCCTCATTTTCATTTTCATCTTCGTCCTCTGCTTTTTCATGTTCAGTTTCATTTTCACCATTTTCGGGTTTTCCACCGCTATTTCTTGTTTGTCGTGTACTACGCGCTGATCTTTCTTTATTCTCATGACCATCATAATGACTACGATGTCCCCTTAATGAATGTACAGATTTTCCTATAGATTCATCTTCGTTTCTTAATCTTCTATTTCTTCTATTTGTTGGAATGTCTGTTGTTTGATAATCGTTTAAATAACGTGTGTTTTTCTTTATTTCTCGCCGACTTGGCAATCTTTTCACCTATAAATTAAAAAAAATAAATACAGCAAAAAAATAGATACTTATTGTATTGAAAAACTGTTATCTTGTTATCTTAGGATTCTTTACACAAAATAATAATTTAACGAGTTCAGGCTCAAAAGTGAAAGTTTATTTTACAGATTTCTATTTTTAAATTCGTTAACTGAGAGAGGGCGTAACGCCAATAAAGACAGATGTCAAACTGACTATAAATTCTCAATCAAAATGAAAATAAGTGTTATCACGTAATTTTGATTCTTCGTTATCTTAAATTATTTACATGAAAATTATCACTTATTTGATAAATAACGTTTAGGTTATTTTGTTATCTTTTATAGGAAAACTTGGGACTGATCCGACCGTAAGATGGCATTAGCATCTATACCGAATTAATTTAATTAAACTAACAATTTTATTATTAATAGTGAGAATGATGGGAGACAGCAATAACAATTATTACCAGTATCATTCTTTTAATTTAGAAAGTATAGATTCCAATTCGTTTAAAACTTTAAAAGTTGAAGTTTATTCAGAATGACAGATGAAAACGTCATTTTAAAGTGATTTTTCGATAAGAGTATAATAAAGTAATAATGGTATGATTAAATTAATTAGATTATAATTGACATTATAGCTTTGTTTCAGCTAAAGTTATAACTGGTTGAAAGCTCCTCAGATGCAATCTCACGTGTCATATGATGCAGTGAAATTCAAATGTGGCGACATTATTTGGCAGGTGTAATTGCATCTGAGGAATTTCCAACCAGTCGGAACGTTAATTGGAGCTTCCAAACAGTTTTTTTGTGGTTGGAGCTTTTATATATAAATCCAATCCAACCTGTATTCTGGTTCGGTTCTTAGCTGAATAATTCCAAAATATCCCCAACAGATGGCGCCACATGCGTTCAATTTTTAGTACGAAGTTTTTGTTTAGAGAGTTGCATTTCTAAGAAGCTATTTTCTAAGATCGAAGCTCCCTCTTAGGAATGGGGAACTTCTTTTTTAAGTTATATAATATCTTGATTCGGTGTTAAATTTGGATTGAATCATCAGAGAAATGAATTGGAGAACCAATTTAAGGTTAGGAAACTACTTTTGACATTTATAGGTTAGATTTTTTTTTATCAAAGTTCAACTTTCCCTTTTCTTATATACCCTTTTCCCTTCTCCAAAAAATTTTCTTCCTTCTATTTTTAACCCTCGCTTCTAATTAGGTCACTGGTTTCGCGCCATTTCTTCCCTTAAAATAATTTCAAATCTTTCTAAATTCCGATAACGCCATCTAGCGGATTTCTTTCGAACTACTCAAAATTCCAAAACTTATTTTATTCATATTTTCGTTTAATTCTTCACCAATCCGGATGAAACTTCGTATTTGATGCATATATTTTTCTATTTCATTGGTCCATTGGAGGTTTCAAGATTCTCCAACCACACATGAAGTTTGAATTTTACAAATTTAAATCCCATTATCAAACTCAAGATCATTCAAAAATCTTAAGGAATCTAATAAATTAGAAGTAGCTGACGCTGATCTTCCCATTTTGTGTGGTTTAGAAAGGATATTAATAGTTTTAAGAAAATTATGAGCAACTAAAAGTGAACTGTCAAATGAATTGAGGTTATGTTTCTCTCTCTCAGGAGCTTTATTAGAATATATCAGTTAAACCTGGATATAATGGAGTTATCGGGTATTCCCTGAGTTGTCTATATAATGTATAAATCAAGGGCGATAGTTTTAGTTATTTAGTGCTAGATTGTTGTATATTTTTAATCCATTATATTGAGGTTTAACTGTAGTTAAAAAGGTTATGGATATGTTTTTAACTTAGATAATTACTTGAGCATCCCTACTATCTTCTTCTGAATATTCTTCCGCATTGGGATAACCTTTCTTAGGCATTTGATCGTCTGTAATCCATGACCCCAAGCTTTTATACTGAGGATTTCTTTGTCGAGCACTGCGGCGAACTCCTACTGTACAAAATTAAACTTCAAATACATCATATAATTATCATAACATTTTTTACTGACCTACAACATCACTATCATCAGAATGACAAGTCATTGGGGATCTATCAACGTACGATTTTGCAGTTAAAGGGCGTAATGATAAAGCAGTTCTTCGTTCAACTCGTCCCATGAGGGTACGATGACGCCTCCTAGAACTGTGCCTTGGTGAATAACAATCTTCTTCGCTATCATTGGGGTTATACGAGTCCATGTTGTCCATTCGATGTTTATGTGCAACATATACTTCTAAACGACCTTTTAATTTTGGGTGTTTTCTTGTATCCACCACATCAGTTTTACGTAAATGATAAGCTAAATTAAAAGAAATTAGTTCTATAATAAAAGTGTTAACGAATTATTTTACATTTAAATTTCCTGTTATCATAAACAAATCTACTTCGAAGTTCTCGAACACGAGGTGGTAATGCTGATTCAGATTTATTTAATGGTAAAATATCAGATTTACTATGTGGACTCCATGATTCATCATCACCTTGTAATTCTTCTGATTCACTACCACTTGAAGTATCTATATGTCGAACACCATCATTTGTTCTCTAAAAGTAATGTTGAAAAGCACTATTAAATTTATTAATTCAATAAAACAATAAATTTTAAATTATAATACCCATCCTAACCTAAACAAACAAAATAAACAAACTTAAGTTTGGGTGAAATGAAGAATTGTTTGAAGGCAAAAATAAAGAAGAAAGAACATACCCTTGTGTGATAGCGATGGTTACCACCAGACTCTGTACGGCGAGTATTCACCATGTCACCGCTACCACCTATTGTACATACACATTTATACACAAATATTTAGCAGTAAGAAAACAAATTAGTAAAGATCAATATAAAACACAAATACAATTGACACCTAAGACCTTCAAGTTGGATTTACAAAACAAGAAACGACTCACTTTCATTTAATTTTACCTCATATTTTAATAACATTTCCACACCTATCTATAAGACACACCTCACCATCTTGAAGTGACATTTTTTTAGATCTCTTAGAACATGTCCACTCCACTTTCGCCCGCTTTGAGATAATGTTAGGTGTGCAGATATCGTTATAGAATGGCGTACATCTGTATCAATCTCAGGACATTTTTCGGGAAGATCTTTTAGTGAACGAACAAACACTTTGTAAAAGTCTTCAAGTACAGTATTTGACATGCAAGAATGTCGCTGAACGCCGTAAGAATTTTATTAGATTTTGAAGTGAAATCTTTACTTACGTCTTTCTGTAACGTTCTCCGGAAACTAATAGAACGAAACTGGTTTTTTTAATTCGATAAATCAAGTTAAAATAAAACTAGAACACAAATTACTGGTTAGAACGATTCTTGACATAAAGGAAGCAGTGATACCAATTTACTAACCGTTAAGATATTTAATAAGACAAGAAATTCCCTAGATCGACTGTTGTTGTATTATTTTTTTTCTTTTTTAATTAACCTAAAAGTTATTTATATAGCGCGATTTCTTATTTAATGTTTATTGTTATTGTTTCAACTAAATTCATCAAAAAAATAATTCTATAAATACATTTTAAGATGTGAATGAATTTAGCTTCATAACTAAATTCTTTTAAATTTTAAATATTTGTTTAACGATTATTTACATAACAAAATATTACTAAATCCTATTAATAAAAGATTCACTTCGCATAAATTTTCTTTATTAAATGCGACTTCATTACATTAAGTGCTGATTTATACATTTTATTCTTTAATATGGAAAACAATAGCAAAATCGCGTATAAATACTTTGCGTCAGTCTGACAGATGTCATTCGAGCAGCAGCTGCTCGCTCGTTGAGAGTGGTTAGAGGCGTAAAGAAATAATGTGTGTCAACAATCGTATAGTTCACGAAGAACGGTAAAAACGTTCGCGAGTCGATTATGTGTTAATTCGATTCATCGGAAAGTGTAATCAAAGTAAAGAAATTATGTACGAAAATGGACTCGTACATTTCGGATATTCAAAATTCCCTCTATGACACGCTTGGTAAGTCACTTGACCACCAAATTCAAAATAATCACTTAAAAAATTCGTCAACATCATCAATTCACTCATTTTCATTTTATTTTTTTTTTAGTCAACTACATCGACATAGATTTCACGTTGTGGTTAACATGGCTTTTGACACCACTACTAATTACCTTTGTGCTACCTCTAATTATAGTCATTCTTCTTTATACGACCGCATTAATACTTTATGTGTACAAGTGGCATTGGAATAGGGTTAGGACTACATTTGGACAGGGAGATAAGTGGGGTGCTGCACGAAAAGCTGTTGCTGCACTTTGGGATGCTCATGGATGGATTTGGCATGGTAATCAACTTTGATAAATCTTGTTTAAGTACCAAGAATTATTTTTAACACGTTTTTATTTTTGCCAAGTCATTTATGATAAAGTTATTGATTGTAATCAATCTTTCAACAGATACTTATGTAATCTGGTATGTTTGCTATAGATAAAGTTAAACAAATCATTTTTTTCCAGGTTAATTTAAATATAGTTTTAATTTTTTAGTACTAGTTGGATGGTATCAGATGAATGCAACATTTAATTAAATGTATTTTATAGAATGTTATAGTTTTATGAATGTTATATATTCTGAAATTATGACCAATATCAATAAATGTTAGTGGACCTCTCTCCATGAATAATAACCACATATGTACAGGTGTTTCTAAATGATGCGAAAAATTTCAAGGAATGATGTTTCAGCAAAAATTAACTTTTACTTTTTGTTCAAACCCCTTCCCCACCGAGTTACAGCACTCTAAAGTTAGGGGAAAAAATTGTTTTTATTTAATAAATCCACTATGAAGAAATTTTGAAGAATGAAATTTGGCAGATAACTGTTGCTAATAAAAGGGCACTTTTTGACGATTTTTATAACTTAATACTTTGCATCAGAAGTTTGTAATGCGTCTACATTTTTGTATTTAAAAACTTCATTGAAATAGAGGGATTCAATACGCAACTTTTTTGTCTCTTGACATTTTCTCCTAAAATTGTTAGTTTGATCACAAAAAAAAATAAACTAATACACAGGCTCAAGTGAATTAATTCAGAGATTGGTTATTATTAGTCAAAGAAATGAAGTTATGTTAAATTGATTCTGCATTCCTTTTTTTTTGTGATATGATCACAAATTCTTAAATATGATGACAAATTTTAATAACTTTTACGTTATTTTGGATAACTTTAAAAATCTCTAAAAAATCGAATAGTTAAGAATTGGTTCTCAAAGTTTGTTGATTTATAAAGAAAAGCATGCTCTTTTAACTGGTGAAACCCGTTTTTGAAAATATCGTTTAGTTTTGAAGATATTAATTCTTAAATATGATGACAAATTTTAGTAACTTTTACGTTATTTTGGATAACTTTAAAAATCTCTGAAAAATCGAATTGTTAAGAATTTGTTCTCAAAGTTTGTTGACTTATAAAGAAAAGTATGCTCTTTTAACTGCTGAAACCCGTTTTTGCAAATATCACTTAGTTTTGAAGATATTAATTCTTAAATATGATGACAAATTTTAGTAACTATTACGTTATTTTGGATAACTTTAAAAATCTCAGAAAAATCGAATTGTTAAGAATTTGTTCTCAAAGTTTATTGATTTATAAAGAAAAGCATGCTCTTTTAACTGATGAAACCCGTTTTTGAAAATATCATTTAATTTTGAAGATATTAATTCTCAAATATGATGAAAAATGTTAGTAACTTTTACGTTATTTTAGATAACTTTAATGATTTTTGAAAATCGAATTCTTAAGAACTTGTTCTCATATGTTGATTTATAAAGAAAAGCATGCTCTTTTAACTGGTGAAACCCGTTTTTGCAAATATCATATAGTTTTGAAGATATTAATTCTTAAATATGATGACAAATTCTAGTACTTTTACGTTATTTTGGATAACTTTAAAAATCTCTGAAAAATCGAATTGTTAAGAATTTGTTCTCAAAGCTTGTTGATTTATAAAGAAAAGCATGCTCTTTTAACTGGTGAAACCCGTTTTTGAAAATTTCGTTTAGTTTTGAAGATATTAATTCTTAAATATTATGACAAATTTTAGTAACTTTTACGTTATTTTGGATAACTTTAAAAATCTTTGAAAAATCGAATTGTTAAGAATTTGTTCTCAAAGCTTGTTGATTTATAAAGAAAAGCATGCCCTTTTAACTGGTAAAACCCGTTTTTGAAAATATCATTTAGTTTTGAAGATATTGTTATTAAAGTAACAATTCGTTAGTTGTAAAATGTTAAGATATAGAAAACTTGCAGATTTTTTCCTTTAACTTTAGAGGACTATATTTTGACCAAATTTTTTTAATATATTTGAACAATATCTATTTCCTATTCCTGCCACAGCGTAGATATTGGTTAGGTTTGCGTCACCTAGAAACTATGCAAGGTTTATAGAACATAAGGTTACCTCATTCCCTATGCCTCTGTAGTATCGATTATTACCCCGCAAATTGACGTCACTGGTTCGATACAGTCAGAATAAAAGATAGCCTATACGTGCCTATACTGTGGTACAGTCTATATAAAATATTTAAACCTCGCATCGTGTTGTGTTGTTCATAGAACCAGCTACGTCACTGACCCACCTTGCCTCTCAGAGGAGGAGAATCGGTATTGGGTAACCTTATGTTCTATAGACCTTGGGAACTATGTACTCTTGTGGGAAAATATGGAATAAGATTCCTGTAAAAAAAGCATTAAGTATACAATTACTTTGTAGTATTCTTCCTTATTCACTATAATATAGTAAATAAGACATCATATTATGATGAATGTATACTGTATATGAATATACAGCGAATTTCACTTAAAATGCAATATACAAAAATAAATTTCCATAGAAACCAGGGCGTACCTACCTTGGTACCTACCTACTTTGTCCCACATAAAATGCAACATGTCTGAATGTTTCTTGTTCTAAATCTAATGTTAATTCTAGTGACAGTAGTAGGTAGCGCTAGTTAAGATATCACTATGTTGCATATTTATATTGAACTAAAACTAGAACTAACACTAGACCTATAACTAGAAAGCTGTTTCTAAGAATGTTTCTAGTTCTAGGTCTAGTGTTAGTTCTAGTTTTATACTAGCACTATTACTATGTAGAACTAACACTGTACCTAGAACTAGAATCATTCGGGTTTAGCCGTCTTTAGAGACATGCGGCTAAATCCGAATGTTTCTAGTTCTCGGTCTAGTGTTAGTTCCAGCTTTGCACTAGCACTATCACTAGAACTAACACAAGACCTAGAACTGGAATCATTCGGGTTTAGCTGTCTTGAGAGTGCGGCTAAATCCGAATGTTTCTAGTTCTAGGTCTAATTTTTATTCTAGTGAGCTAAACCCGATACTTTCTAGTTCTAGGTCTAGTGTTAGTTCTAGTTTTACACTAGCACTATCACTAGAACTAACACAAAACCCAGAACGTTCGGGAACAGATTCGGGTTTAGCCATACGTCTCTTAAGACGGTCGAAAACTCAAGATTATCATAAGGATGTCACCTTTTTTCAAGCAAAACTTTTCCTTTGAAAAACTATCCAATGCCTGTATTATTAAGCTATGTATTGTATTTTATGTGGGAGAGTGCAAGTGCATAGTTTCGTAACATTCATATATTGCGAGTTATATGAAATTCCCGGTATGAAATTTATAACTGAAATTTAGAAAAGTAATTTATCGTATTCTTTGTGTAATAATAGATTTTTGGTACATGGCCAATATTATATAATTTAAATGTTGACTCATTTATATTGGTCCCCTTATTATAATTTCTTTTAGGATACGAAGTGACTGGCTTGGATAATTTAAATAACAATGAACCTGGCCTAATTATTTATTACCATGGAGCAATACCCATAGATTTATATTATTTTATAACAAAAGTATTATTATTTAAAAACAGATTAGTACATACCGTAGCAGATTATTTTTTGTTTAAAATACCAGGTAATAAAAATTAAATATTATATAATCAAAAATTACGTTATTATATTTATTAAAGGTTTTTCAATAATAGCTGAAGGCATGAATGTGATACCAGGAACTGTACAAACATGTTCCACTGTACTTAAAGATGGCAATTTATTAGCAATAGCACCAGGCGGTGTATACGAGTCACAATTCAGTCATAATTACAATTTAATGTGGAAAAAAAGATTGGGTTTTGCAAAAGTAGCGATCGACGCGAAAGTTGTAATTTCCTCCAAAATCACAAACATTAATTTATCAATTAATTCTTAATTTTTTAAGCCAATTATTCCGATGTTTACGGAAAACGTTCGCGAGGCATTCAGAACGGTTAGTTTTGGTAAAAAATTGTTTTTAAAAATATACGCGGCGACTAAAATTCCGGTTGCCCCAATTTATGGAGGATTTCCTGTTAAGATGATTACGCACGTTGGAAAACCGATTCCCTATGATCCTAATCTTTCTCCAGAAGATTTACAAGCTAAAGTACTTTGTTGTAAAACATCCTATTCTTTTTTTTTATTTTATCATTTTTTAGGTGGCTCAAGCAATCAACGAATTAGTAATTAAACACCAAAGACTGCCAGGTAGTATTACACATGCATTGCTGGATAGGATTCCTTATCTTAGGCTTAAAAATGATTTAGTTAAACACAAATGAACAAAGTACGTAATGAAATAATTCCATTTAACACTTTTTTAACATTTTAATTTTTCATTCCAAAACTACTTTATTAAGTTTCTTTTACCATAAGTACAGTAAAAAAATAAATTGTGTATATTTTGTTGGTTTGAGGTTATGTTAAATATGTAAATAATAAAGTAATTTAGTGATTTTTTTTTGTAAATATATATATTTTATACAGAATAAAAACTTTTTATTTTTACAAGTAACCTTCACCTTAATCTCTTAATTAATTAATGAAATTTTGACTTAAAAAAAATTTATCGTCCTTGCATTTTAATATAATTATCTTTTTCAACATGATTTTGCAACCTCACAGCGCGTTTCTGAAAAGGAATAAAATTTACACAATGGAAAATTTAAATAAATGTGTTTACTTAACCTTATAATGCATATCAAAGGAATAAAGCAAGTACATGAGAAAACAATTATTCAGCATATATTTAATGAATAAATTGTTTTTAAAAATACCTTTAGTTTAGAACTCCTTTCGTGAATACTCCTCATTTGCTTTTTGATATTGACCAATTTTCCATAATACATTCTCATCAAATCAAACATTTCTTGCAATTCAATTTGATTTTGTGACCAAGATAGTTTCAAATTTTCGTTATGCATCTGTTCTGTTAATATTGCTTGCTTTACCCTTAAAGATTAAGATGTTATATTTTGCAATTTGAAGTTTTAATTAATAAAAAGAGTACCTAAGGTCGGAGAGTTGTTTTTTAGTTTCTGTTACAGGGGGTACAAACAATTTCAATGTTCCATGAGCTAATAAATCGCCTACATCATCATCGTAAGGATACGGTATTCTGCAAGATAACAATAAAATAATCCGCAATAAAATATAATAAACACATACGGTTCTTCAAATTGAGACATTTCTTTTAATTCTGCAATATAATTAATTTATAATTTTCACAACATAACCTTACTTTATCAGCTGTCAACATTGTTGCCAACCTATGCCGATCAAATGTTGGTAGAATCAATGGTAAAAAATCGGTAGGTTTAAATACAAAGTTTATAAATGAATTTATATACATATACAGATGTCCCATATCCTCCGCATCAAAACATTATACGGTTCCCGTGCGGTTATTATAACGATTGTTTAAATATACAGTGTGTTAATTAATTATCGTACCCGACGTCATCATTGCATGTATGCAACCAATATCACAGTATAGGTATTGAAATACGCGATTTGCGTATTTGGTTGCGTACTTGCAATGATGAGGTCGAGTACGATAATTAATTAACACACTGTACTGTATTTTGAAAAATTTTTATTAGAAAAATCGCTTCAGGATAATATATCGTGTATATAAGTTATGAGTTACACACTGGAGGATGTATTTTTAAAAAATCGCGTACACCTGAAGACCCTCACAAAGTTACCTTGATTACAATTATTGTTTTTCGGGATCGAACCTATTGGCAAGTTGTTAGTGGTAACACTTTGGAATTGGAGGATGTTATGAAAAACTTTCAAAATAAAAGTTGTAGCAAATTTTATTCTTAACAATATTGCTATCTTACACTTTTGCTCTTAGATGAGTCAAATTATTAAAGATAAGGCTTAGGAATCGGAGCGTGTTACAAAAAAACTTTTACAATAAAAGTTGTAGCAAATTTTATTATTAATATTATTGCTCTCTTGCACTTTTGCTATTAGATGCGTTAATATCGTGATAGATACGAAAATATGAAAATTTGATGAATCTGTAGCTTTTTCAAGTTATTAAAGGTAACGCTTGGGAATCGGAGCTTGCTATAAGAAATCTTTTATAACAAAAATTATTGCAAATTTTATTGTTAACAATATTGCTCTCTTGCACTTTTGCTCTTAGATACGTCAATATCGAGAAAAGTACGAAAATATGAAAAATTTGATGAATTTGTTGCTTTTTCAAGTTATCAAAGCTAACACTTGGCAATCGAAGCATGTTACAAAAGAACTTTTAGAACAAAAGTTGTAGCAAATTTTATTCTTAACAGTATTGCTCTCTTGCACTTTTACTATTAGATGCGTCAATATCGTGTTAGATACGAAAATATGAAAATTTGATGAATCTGTAGCTCTTTCAAGTTATAAAAGGTAACGCTTGGGAATCGGAGCTTGCTATAAGAAATCTTTTGTAACAAAAATTATTGCAAATTTTATTGTTAACAATATTGCTCTCTTGCACTTTTGCTCTTAGATACGTCAATATCGAGAATTATACGAAAATATGAAAATTGTATGAAATTGTTGCTCTTTCAAGTTATTAAAAGTAACACTCGGGAATCGGAGCATGTTATAAAAAAACTTTTTGAACAAAAGTTGTAGCAAATTGTATTGTTAACAATATTACTCTCTTGCACTTTTGCTCTTAGATGCGTCAATATCGAGGTAGATGCGAAAATATAAAAATTTGATGAATTTGTTGCTCTTTGAAGTTATTAAAGGTAACACTTGGGAATCGGAGTATGCTATAAGAAATCTTTCATAACAAAAATTGTTGCAAATTTTATTGTTAACAATATTGCTCTCTTGCACTTTTGCTCTTAGATACGTCAATATGGAGATAGATACAAAAATATGAAAATTTGATGAATTTTGTTGCTTTTTCAAGTGATTAAAGGTAACCCTTAGAAATCGCAGCATGTTACAAAAAGACTTTTACAATTAAAGTTGTAGCAAATTTTATTATTAAGAAATTGCTCTCTTGTACTTTTGCTCTTAGATGCGTCAATATTGAGATAGATAGAAAATATGAAAATTGTATGAATTTGTTGCTCTTTGAAGTTATTAAAGGTAGCACTTGGGAATCGGAGCATGCTATAAGAAATCTTTCATAACAAAAATTGTTGCAAATGTTATTGTTAACAATATTGCTCTTTTGCACTTTTGCTCTCAGATGCGTCAATATTGAGATAGATACGAAAATATGAAAATTTGATGAATTTATTGCTTCTTCAAGTTATTAAAGGGACCGCTTAGGAATCGAAGCATGTTACAAAAGAACTTTTAGAACAAAAGTTGTAGCAAATTTTATTCTTAACAGTATTGCTCTCTTGCACTTTTGCTCTTAGATGCGTCAATATCGTGATAGATACGAAAATATGAAAATTTGATGAATTTTGTTGCTTTTTCAAGTGATTAAAGGTAACCCTTAGAAATCGCAGCATGTTACAAAAAGACTTTTACAATAAAAGTTGTAGCAAATTTTATTATTAAGAAATTGCTCTCTTGCACTTTTGCTCTTAGATGCGTCAATATTGAGATAGATACGAAAATATGAAAATTTGATGAATTTATTGCTTCTTCAAGTTATTAAAGGTAACGATTAGGAATCGAAGCATGTTACTAAAGAACTTTTATAACAAAAATTGTTGCAAATTTTATTGTTAACAATATTGCTCTCTTGCACTTTAGCTCTTAAATGCGTCAATATCGAGAAAAGTACGCAAAATATGAAAATTTGATGAATTTGTTGGGAATCGGAGCATCTTGTAAGAAATCTTTTCTAACAAAAATTATTGCAAATTTTATTGTTAACAATATTGCTCTCTTGCTCTTTTGCTCTTAGATGCGTCAATATCTATTTTGACAATATTATATTTTGAACCGTTTTCAAATTTAGCAGGGGGTTTACTTATGACACGTACTGTATATACCAACGGTATGGCAATGTCGCGCGAGCAACGTTGCCATACCGTTGGTATTTACTTTTATGCAATATAAGTAGGGTATTCGCATAAGGTACAACTTTTGTCGCAATTGTATCGATTTTAAGTACGATGTGTTTCATAATACTTTGTTAAAATTTTGAAAATTGGTAAATTAATCTTCTATGTTATCGGCTGTCAACGATAATCACGATAATAAATTGAAGGCTTATTTCACGCGATACTTTTCCAATTATAATTTTANTTTGAAAATCGGTAAATTAATCTTCTATGTTATCGGCTGTCAACGATAATCACGATAATAAATTAAAGGCTTATTTCACGCGATACTTTTCCAATTATAATTTTAAGGTTTTCTATAAAAGTATTTAATATATTTTAGTTTTTTAATTAAATTAAAAACCAGAATTTATAATATTTCAATTAATTATTATTAAATTCAAAATTGATAAATAATACGTATAAATAAGCCTCAAAATAACTCTACGTTGTCAACTGTCAAAAAAATAGGTTATGTTTATGTTTGGTTTTCAAAAACTTGCCAGTCACATAAAACTATTAAGATGAGTCAAGAAATTCGTGAAGATGTTCTAAAATTGATGCAACAAAAAGATAAAATCGAATCGGAAATACAAGAATTAACATCTATTTTAACGAAGGTATAAAATACTGTTTTTTTATTACAATAAATCTATAAATCAAATTGTTTCTAGAATGGTGTTGGAATGAGTGATCCTTTGGTTGATACTGAAGGATTCCCTTTGAATAATATTGACATTTACCAAGTAAGACATGCAAGGCACCAAATAATTTGTAAGTTAATATAAACCTTGCATAACTAATTTTTTTAAGTAAGTCTTTGTTAGGTTTACAAAATGATCATAAAGCCATTATGAAACAAATTGAGCAAGGGTTACACGGTTATTATAGTAGTGCTCAAAATGGTACACCGTCACGTGAAGTAGAACAAGGGCAACATAATGTAGCTGCTATAGAACAACATAGAACCCCTTTTGCTAAAGTTACTACAGTTTCTGATGGATCACCAGCAGATATTGCTGTAAATTTTTTGTCATTAATTTAAAATTTATGTTTATTAAAAATATTTATTTTAGGGGTTGCAAGTAGATGATTTTGTTGTTGAATTTGGATCAATAAATTCGACGAATTTCACAAACATTACGGATATTGCAAATGTTGTACGTCATTCTGAGGGTCATCAATTGAGAATAAAACTAAAACGTGGAGATAGATTCATTGTGACGCAGTTATTACCTAAACTTTGGGCTGGACAAGGTTTATTAGGATGCACCATTGTTCGTATTTAAGGATAAAAATAATTTAAATGTTAATCACAGCTTTGTTTTGTTTATAAACATGATTTGCTATAAATAAATACTTAAAATTATATTTTACAGATTTCTTTACATATTTTCCTGACATCTATGTTTGCAATACTTAAACTAGACAAAGAATTTCTTAAAATTGCAAAACTGATGTCGCAACGTTTGCAAATAATACGCAATAATAAAATATTGTTGTTTAAAATAGAACAAAAACACTCTCTAAATTTATCTTAGGTTTTATTAAAGTAGTATAAACTTTTTGTAGATAATATTGGATCCGCGGTACGCAGCACGTAGCAGTGTTCGTCGTGTGTTGTGTTGTGAAAGGTCACACGTAAACGTGGTACATAATTCCGTCGCCGGAATTTTGCTGAACGTGGCAATTTGAGGTTGAAACGAATAAGACTACTTAAGCCCTGTTACTAAGTGCGATACCATTGTCAAAAACATGTCAAGTCCGGGCAAGAGTGAATCCGAACTAAAAGCGGGTCATCCTCCAGCAGGTGAGAACATATGGTGTAAATAAACATTGACAAAGGTCGGTTATTTTTGATTGTTTTTGTTAATGCGCAGTTAAAGCGGGAGGTATGCGAATTACTCAACATAAAACTCATAAGGATCAGACGGGATTTTCAGAAGATATTACCGGGTTAAAGGTCTCTGGAAGTCCACCCAAGGTAACAACAATTTCTGGTGCTATTCCAAGGGGAAACGCCGATTTTCCTACTGAGGCTGTGCAAAGTTTTCATAAGGATAAACCACCAGCGCAACATGCTTCTAAACCTATTATAAATATCCAACAACCAAGGAAATAGTTGAGTTGATATAAAAGGGGATAAGTCTTGCAATTTAAAAATTTATTTTTTATTATTCATTAAAATATATGATTATTTTTCTTTTGTTTGCTGAGGGTATAAGGGATTATAAAAACCAGGAAAATCAATTTTTGCTAAAAAAAACAAACCATGTATGCATTTATTAGAATTTTAATAAAACTTGTTATTTAACAAAAAATAACATGCGCTATTTGTCATTATTTTCCTTGCTTATCATTTTATTCCAAGTACCCATGTATTTTTTTCTCTTATCTTCTTTACTCAACGGACATAAGTGTGCAGCCGCTACAGTTTCTTTAAATTCATCATAGTTTTGAGATGTGTAACAAGCTCGAATCTTCGCATCGTTCCTTATCCAATACAATTTATCATCTTCAATAGCTTTTTGTAGATTACTAAATAAAGATTTATCATCAAAATCTTTTTTTATTTTAGACATTTTCCTAACGTGTTGAAATCACCTTGTTTATTATTTGACAATTTTGACATCAAAACTGTTACCATGGTTACATCAAAATATCCATTATTAAAATTAATTTATTATTTACATTTCTAACAATAAAAGAATTGAATTGAAATATTTATTTTTCTAAAGATAAAGATTTTGAAGTAAAATTGTTGAGAGATAACCTTGAATTGATTATAATTTGAAACGTCAACAAAATACACAACACAGATGGCAGCACTAACCAAAAGAATTTAAATTACGTGTCAAACTTTGTGAAATTGATTACAATTTTTTAGCATAAATATATTATTTCAGCACAAATTTTGTTATTGCATCAACGAAACCATGCTCAAAGCGGTTATACTTATCGGAGGTCCTCAAAAAGGTAAATTATTAAAACTTAACCTAAAATTTTTTTATGTTTATAAAATCGTTTTTAGGAACAAGATTTAGGCCTTTATCTCTGGATATACCGAAACCCCTGTTTCCGGTAGCTGGTCTTCCGTTAATTCAACACCATATTGAAGCCTGTTTGGCTGTTAAAGACTTGAAAGAAATATTGTTGATCGGGTTTTATCCGCCCAGTCAAATTGAGCCTTTTATTAATGATGTTCAACATTATTATAGCGTTAATATCCGGTATATAATTTCAATTTGGTTATATTGTTATTGTTAATTTTTTTTTTTAAGGTATTTGCAAGAATTTACTGCGTTAGGAACTGCAGGAAGTTTATATCATTTTCGCGATCAAATCCGGTTTGGAAACCCACATGCATTTTTTGTGATGAATGGAGACGTTTGCGCTGATTTCCCCCTTGATGACTTATACGAATTTCATAAAAGCAAAGGAGATAATGCTTTGGTAACTGTGATGAGTACAGAAGCTACGAGGCAACAATCTTTGAACTATGGATGTTTAGTAACAGATAAAACTACTCATGAAGTATCTCATTATGTTGAAAAACCAAGTTCTTATGTTTCCACTTTAATCAGTTGTGGAATTTATGTGTTTTCAACGGAAATTTTTCAAGCTATTGGGGAAGCATTTAATGTGAAACAACAAGAATATTACAGGTTTCTTTTTTGCTTTAATTTATTTTTATTTTTTTAATATTTTTTTAATTATAGGAATGGAAATGGAAATAAAGCTGGTTATATGCAACTTGAGCAAGAAATTTTAGCCCCTTTAGCAGGAACAGGGAAAATATTTACTTATCAAGTGTCTAGATGGTGGTCTCAATTAAAAACAGCTGGGTCAGCTATTTATGCAAATCGACATTATCTCCAACTTTATAGGAATACACATCCTGAAAGATTGGCTCATTTACATGCATCAGGAGATCAAAATCCTCACTGTCACATAACTCCAGATGTTTATATTCATCCTACAGCAGTGATTCATCCTACAGCAGTGGTAACTCATATTTAAACTTCTCAGCCATAATTTATAATATTTATATTCATAATATTATTTTTAGTTGGGTCCCAATGTGAGTATAGGTCCAGATGTGGTAATTGGTCCAGGAGTTCGCGTGCGTGAAAGTATAATTTTGGCAAATGCTCACATAGAAGATCACAGTTTAATCCTTCACAGTATTATAGGAAGAAATTCAAAGGTTGGAAAATGGGCTAGAGTTGAAGGAACCCCATCTGACCCAGATCCAAATAAACCATTTGCAAAAATGGAAAATCCCGTTTTGTTTAATAATGATGGACGATTAAATCCATCAATAACAATCCTCGGTACGCATATTTTGTTATTAATAATTCCTATTTTAATGATTTATATTTTTAGGGTGTTATGTGAGTGTAAAACAGGAAACGATCCTATTAAACTCGATTGTTTTACCTAATAAGGAGTTAAGTCGCAGTTTTAAAAACGAAATTATCCTTTAAAACGATTTTTATTGCGCACAATTACAAGAGTAAATATTTCGTAATCAAATATATTCTTTATTTATAACGTTTTTCTTGTTCTTAACAATGAGAAGAAACTATAATCCATTGGATACGTACCTTATATTCTAATAAATGATTTTTGTTTTTTTATTTTTTGTTCTTGATTTAAACCAAATGATGTACTAACATTAAAAAATCAATATTTTTTGAGTTTCTTAGTAGCGTTTCCCAATTGAATATCTAAATCTGGGCCAAGTGCCTTTAACAATGGATGCTTACTGTAACTTCCAAATAATGTTGTTAATAAAGCTACACCATATCCAGTTGCGCGTTCACCCTAAATAAAAAGGTTGAAAATTATAACATTAAAAGTTATTAATAAAAAATTAACTTACACAATGAACTGGCGCAGCCATATCAACATGAACCCAAACACCGGAATAATCAAATCCTAAATGCGCAGCAATAAACAATCCAGCACACGAAGATTGAGCGTTATTTCGATCAGCCACGGAATTTTTCATATCAGCAACAGCAGAAGCAAACTCAGAGAAATGCAACTCTGGGCAATAGGGAATTGGAAATACCAAATCTCCCGAAGCTTGCCCAGCGTGCATTGTGTAATCCTCCCAATCAGCGCTGTTAGTAAGTACAGCAGCATGATATTTTCCTGTAGCAACGGCCTGAGCACCTGTTAAAGTAGCCATATCAAGGATTATGTTTGCCTTTAAATCGCGTTGAGCATAAACGACGCCGTCCGACAAAACTAAGCGACCTTCAGCATCTGTGTTGTTAATTTCAACAGTACGACCAGAGTATAATTTATGGATATCATCAGGTCTAAGAAAAATAAAAAAAAACCATCAATATTACTACAATAAACAGATTTTAGGCACTAAATGTTTACCGCGTTGCTTGAGGCCCAACTGAGTTTTCTGCCAAACAAAACACAGCATGGAGATTTTGAGTAAAATTCGCTTTAACAGCGGCGTGAAATGCGCCTAAAATTCCAGCGGCTCCTCCACAATCTCGTTTCATCCCTGGCATTGCGGTCTAATCAAAATTTAATCAAAAAAAATCTTAATAAAATGACAAAAGTTGCTATTTATTAATATACAGGATGTCTCATGTAACAAGGTTCTACTATTCGTAGAGATTTGAAAATTTGGTAGCATGGATTCTTTATTCGATCTAAAATATTTTCAAGATGGCCGCCACTTCCGGTCTACCGGAAGTAGACCATTACTTCGTTATTTTAAACGGAATGCTATAGTTTTTATTAAACCGTTTACTTGTAAGTAAAAAAATAGGTTGACTTTGAAAAGTTATTAAATTTCAACATGCTCTTTGAAACCCCATATCTCAGCCAATGTTTATTCAAAGATCTACGTTGGCATGATTACTCTTCAGATGCTGTCAAATAGATTGTCATTTGTTGTATCGGAGTATCTTATACAGGATGGTCAAAAATTGAATTACTGTTTCTCGATATTGAATGGCGAGAAAGTCGAAAATTTTAAATGGAACACCCCATATTTTTTTAGCTTATCAGAAAGGGAATTTAATTCTCTACAAATTATCTATAAACATTCCTATACCTATTTATTGTAGTTTGGCTCATATTGGGAAATTTATTAAAACATTAACGAAATGTAGATTTTTTTATTAGAAAGCTATGGAATTTTGACAGTTTTAGGTCCATGTTTGTATTATTGTTGTCATTAGTTACATTTGACGACGGGTGTAAGTCATTGAACATCATGGCAGATTATTCCAACGCCGATATTTGAAATTTATTTTGTATTGATGGCGAATGTAATAAACTTTTGGACATGTGTAGAACACATGATGATAAAAAAATTGATAAAGATTTTCTTAGTTTTCGACATATCGAGACCAAAAGAAACCACATATTTCCTTCACCAGTGATGAAGACAACGAAATAAATATTTTATCGTACTTTATTGCATTTTCAAATTCAATTTAATAACAAATTCATATTATAAATTTATATTTTTATCCAAATCTAATTTTTGTCATTAATTTTTTGTTTTAATTGTTTCATTTATTTGATATTCTGTTTGTTATGTTTGGTAAGTAAAAGCTAAAAGATTATCAATCGTAGTTAATAGTACAAATAATAATAGACATAAATTAATAATAGCCTTCTAATAAAAATCCAAACGGTTTCCTACATTTCCTGCATGTTTTGATAAATTTCGCAATATGAGAGAAACTACAATAAATAGGTATAGGAATGTTTACAGATAAATTGTAGAGAATTAAATTCCCTTTCGGATAGGCTAATAAAATACGGGGCGTTCCATTTAGAATTTTCGACTTTCTTGCGTTTAATATGGAGAAACGGTAACCCAATTATTGACCACCTGTATAAGATACTCTAATACAGGTAAACGTCGTTTTGCGCCGGTTCGCTTTACGCCGATTCACAATTACGCCGGTTGGTGCTGGCGTGGGATTCCCCGGTTCGCCTGACATAAGACGATAATACAAAAATATAGAGAAAGTAGAAAAATGTTAGCATTGTGGGTTGATGATGCCAATCAAAAGAATATTCCTGTAACACAAGCAACCATATGCGAGAAAGCACTGTTGATTTTTTCGCGCAAGAAATCACTGATGAAACTTTCTTGGCAAGCACTGGGTGCTTCACGAGATTCAAACCTCGAGCGGCGAGTGCTGATGTAGCAGCAGCCGCAGCTTAACTTTAAAAGTTTCAAGAAATTGTGGAACAACTACCTTGCAGATCTCATCTTTAATTTTAATGAAACAGGCCTTTATTGGAAGAAGTTGCCATCGAGAACATTTATTTCGCGAGAAGGACGTAGTGCTCGTGGATTTAAAGTCGCCAAGGATAGACTGACTGTTCTCTTGGAATCAAATATTTCTGGTTCTTTAAAACTTAAGCCAATGGTAGTGTACCATTCCCAGAATCCACGGGCTTTTAGAGGTCTTGACAAAACTGAAGATGTGACCGGACTGTTAGACGTGTATGAATAACCAATCTCAAATTAGAAGAGTTGATAGAGGCATATGATCGCCCTCAATCAGAATATCCCGAAGAAAAAGAGGAGGATGAGAAAGAAAATGATAGGAAAATCCTGCTAACGGACTATCTAACTCGTATCCTTTCCTCTATAGAAAGGAAGGAAAGGATAGAAAGGTTAACAGGTGAGCTCTGTGACATAGATGAGGATTACAATCGAAGCGCAAATGTTAAAAGAAGTGTCATAGCTGCCCTTCGACCTTATGGTATGATTCTGCAAGAAAGGAAGCAACAATCAAAGCAAATGAAAATGGATGCTTTATTCAAAAAAGTGTGAGACTTGAATTTAGTACCGACGAACTAGTGTGTTACTATGTATTTAAAAAAATTCATTATTTATATCAAGAGATTATTATTTATTTTGAATATATATAGGATATGTATTAAATACATAACATAACAGGAACCTAACCTTATACCGTCCATTATATTTGTGTTCATTTTACGCCGATTTTGTTTACGCCGGTGTCTCTGGGAACGGAACCCGGGCGTAAAACGACGTTTACCTGTGCAGTAAATGACAATCTATTTGACAGTATCTGAAGAGTAATCGTACCAATTTAGAGCTTTTTTGAATGAACGTTGGCTGGGATATGAGATTTTAAATAGCATGGTGAAAATTGTCAAAAAGAACTTTAAATTCAAATAACTCGACGCTAGGTACCAATAACTTTTATGAAAGTCAACATATTTTTTTACGTTCGATTAAAAGGTGTAATAAAAACCATAACATTCCATTTAAAATAACGAACTTAGGGACCGGAAGTGGCAGCCTTCTTGAAAATATTTTAGATCGAAAGTTCCGAATGAACAACCCATGCTACCAAAATTTCAAAACTGTACGAATAGTGGAACTTAATAAAGTCCTAACGAACGAGTTACGTGAGACACCTGTATATTTGACTAGTTTTGGGCTAAATGTCCATCTTCAGCCAAATCTATACGCACAACATAGAAAACATTATACAAAACCCGCTTAATATGATCATTGCTTACTTACTGTCAAAAAGGAACTAATGGTAAAAAATATCTTGGGTTAAAATTTTTACTACAGGGTGTGGCAACATAACTTCCTTTTTTCAAAACTTAATAAAACTTATTGCATGAATCAGAAAATTTTTATTTGCTTTTTATAATGTAGGCACATACATAAAGTTTTAACACTGTTTTGAAGATCAAATCAGGTAGGTGACGTCCTCCATTATCCATATACTGAGTAAACCGATTTCTGGCGTTTGTCATGACTCTTGCTAGTATAGCAGGGATTATGTTGGCAATTTCTTCCTGGATGTTGGTCAAATCTTGTAGGGTCCTTGGACGGTACACATAAACACGGGATTTCAAAACACCCCATAAAAAAAAATCACAAGGAGCCAAATCGAGATTCCAAATCGCCCAACAGCCATCATGCTCTTGAAGTTTGAGCTGTTGCACCATCTTGTTGGAACCAAATGTTCCTTAAGTCCAATTCATCTAGCCGTGGTGATCGCAACACTAAAGCTCTTACTGCCTCAATGTTCTCAAGTGTTCTAATGGGCCGAGGGACTCCAGTTCCTCGTCTTGCAGTTTGTCTGAACGTAGTGACCCACGTAACAATTGATTTCCGATCCGGAACAGGGGCTAAATTAAAGCGACTCCGAAAGGCGCACTGAGTTGCGATCACAGAATATTCGTTCGAAAAGTAGGCCTCAACGGGAAACGCACGCTCTTCACTGATTTAACGCGTGATGGCGCCTGAACTTTGTCGGAACAAAACTTTATAGTCCATGCTCTCGAACGAAACCACTCCGCTGCGACATCAACCAACTAAATGGCGCACATTTCAAAAAAGGAAGTTATGTTGCCGCATCCTGTATAATAATGAACGATAAAAATCCTTTTAAGAAACATATATTCAAATGAACAACATATGTTGACGATGTTTTTTGCGTTTGGGAGGGGAGTAAAGAATCGCTTCACAACAACATTCAACAAAATTTACACTTCACATTGGAAATGGAAGATAAATGCCAAAATTTTTGGATTTAAAATTGAATTATCGAAGGAAACCTTGATTATGATATTTACAAGTAGCCAACAATGATACCCACAACCATACCATACAATTCTGCACATCCAATGAATCAAAAGCCTTCAAATTTTAAATTATTTTTTTCGACTTTGTGCGAAGAGAACAAGATAAAAGAATTTAATTACATTAAAACACTAGCATGTCAAAATGGGTTTCTGTTCTATATTATTTATTTGATTAATAGAATATTAAGAAAGACACATCCTTTATATAAAAAACCAGATAAAGAGACAAAGATTTACAAACCCATTCCATACAACAACATTTCTTATAATGCTAAACATATTTTTGAATAACTAACATCTCACTCGCTTTCTAAACAATAAAAAACCAACTTAACATTTTTTCAAATTATCATGAAGAAAATAAAAAAGACATTTTTAAGGAGAATGGAGTTCTGACTGTGATGGAAGTTACATTGATCAAACAGGGCGAAGACTTGAAACCCGAATACATGACCACAAAAAAAATAACTGAAAAGTTTTTAACCATGGACTGGAAACAAGACATAGCATTAATTTTGAAGGTGCGACACTTTTACATAGATGTAATAAAGGTTTGAAACTCGGTTTCATAATATAATAAACTATAAACCTTTATTTTTGTACTTAAATAATCTGAATCTGTAAATTTCGCGCCTCCAACACCGCTGAGTTTGTGTTTTAATTGTTTTCTTGGTTCATTTTCGATGTTTTAAAGTGTTATTTTATAAAATCGATCGAGATAAACATAAATGTTGTTATTATATTATAGTAAAAATTTTAATCAAGATATTTTTTACCATAAACTCCTTTTTAATAGACAGTAAGTAAGCAATGATCATGTTAATTGGGTTTTTGTATAATGTTTTCTATGTTGTACCTAGAAATTTGGCTGAAGATGGGAATTTAGCCCAAAACTAGTTCGATACATATTAATAAATAGCAGTTTTCGTCATTTTATTAATACTTAATTAACTTGAATATGGATACAAATATAAAAAAAAAATTTATTGGAAAATTTAAGATTTATACCTTTCCTTTGATGCTTAAACCACCAGTATCATAAACAATTCCTTTTCCAACCCATGCAACAGTTACAGTAGCACCTGGAGGAGTATAACTCAGTATTGCCAAAGCTGGGGGTGATGTTGCTGATTTTCCTACACCATAAATACCACCAAATCCTTTCTCACGGAGATCTTCTCCTCGAATGATATTAGGAGTAATGTTTAATCCTTTTCCAATGGTGGAAATTTCCTATAATTTATATTTTTATTATATTGCAATTCTATTTTATGAGTTGGTTAGTTAACCTGCAAAAATGCATCAACATTCATGTCACCGCAAGGAGCATCAACTATTCTGGCTGCTAAACGAACTCCAAAAGCAGCTTCCTCTAAAACCTGAAGTTCTTCTGCAGAAAGTTCAGGAAATTCGGAATTTTCTGAAAAGAATCATAGTCACAAATAGATAATGAAACTAAAAAGGATCTTACCCATCTCTTTATTAGGCATTATAATGAACTCAACAGTAACTGTAACTACATCTGCATAACCAGCTGATGTTTTCTTGCTGTACAATGGAAAAGCTCGAGCAACAGCACACGCACTAGCATAAACATCACTTCGTTCACAAAGAATCTAAACATAAAAAAATAATCTATATAGATCGAAGAAACCTTCAATGTTATATCTAAATTATTCTCACCACAATACTCTCATCTACTCCAACACTACAATTATGAATCAGTCTTGTTATAGCATGAGATCTTGAAGGTGTATTATGACGACTACACTTAACAGGCAACGCTGCCACAGTAGCCAAGTTTAAGTACAAAGAACAGGTGTCAGTAGGTGAAGGATGTAAACTAGGAATTGCTATTTTATAAACCTAAAAGAAAACAAATTAATGGAGAAAAATTGAGGCATTACTCTTTTTACCTCCTCAGAAACTCTTGGTTCAAGTTTGGTCTTAATCTCATTATAAGGAAGTTGTGCTAAATGCTTGAGTTGTCCAATAATGAGTACTGGTTTTTGTTGGGGATCTGTCTTGGACAAAGTGCCCGAAAACACCAATTTGGTGCTCATTGTTCTAAAAGAGCTCAAGTAAACGAGATGCGCTCTGTAACAAAAAAATTTTATCATGATTCATTGAAGAAAATTAAAAATAGAAATGATGAAAGGGCGGTAGTTTTATATGTCGATTAATTTGCAATTTTAGATTAATTATGGTTGTTATTAATTAGGATTATACTTACTTTGATAATTTAACAAACGTCTGATTTAAAGAAAATGCTACTTCATTCTCTATCCGCCGACACTTCTAGGAAATTTATCCGTCAACCACGTACTAACTAGCCCGAAATTTTTATCTTTCATAAAATCAAAAAACCTAAAACGTTTAAAAACTACATTTATTGATTAATTACAGTTAAACGTAATTTTCATTTCGAAATATATGTTCTGTATATACTAATAATCAAAAAAATATAACAATAACTTAAGAATTACTATAAAACTAATTTATCACGCTATTAGCTCATTTGAATTTTAGTATAAATTACATAACTTGGTAACAAAAATTTTTTTACAAAAATTTAATTAAACAATTACTAATAATATTAAACAACAATTGAAATGATTTATTATGATATTAGCATTGAACGTTTTAAGAAGTAATATAAAATAAAAAAAAATTATTCGGAATTTGTGTTGACACCCTCGGTACTTAGTTAAGTTAATAATAAACATGGCTGTCCGGACTTTTGTAAACTGTTTATCAATTATTCTTATAGTGAATATATGCACAAGTAAGTTAATTAATTCCTTTCGAATATTTATTTACACTGTCCCCTAACATGATTTTAAGGCCCCAATTCGATACTCTATCTAACCTCAAAAAAATTGTTATTATACATTCCATTTATATTTCTAGGCGAATCTTTGTATCAACAAGTTCTACCTGATCACTTAGATAATCGGGAAAGTTATGATGAACACGAAGCTGGCGAACCGCCCCCTTACAGTTCTAAACATAATATCAGGCACAACTCTCTTCCAATGCGAGATATTGGAAAGGACAGGTTTAAGTGTTATTCATGTGAAGCTCCAAATTGTGAAGAAGAAACAATATGTCACGATGCTATACAATGTTGGAAATCCAGGATTAGAGAACACTCGGGTTAGTTTGTATAAAATTTTAAGATTTTTTTTATGAATTATTGAGATATATACATTTCTTTAGGTGAAGAAAGTGTAGCGAGAGGTTGTACAACTCGTGCAGATCAATTACCTATGATTTGTAAAACATCATCAATAATTGGTCAACATAATAAACGGCACGCAGTAGGCCAATATCATGTAATATGCTGTGAAGGTGATTATTGTAATCAAGGAGAGTTTCCAGATATTGGAGAGTATCCTATTTCGGATGAGCTAAGTGTTTATTCCAAATCATTTTATATATTAAAACTTGGGGCTGCTATTCTTGGTCCAATACTTATTATGTCGGTGTTGGGCCTCATTTTCCTTTATCTTATGCGTCGCCTGCATAAGCAAAGACTTAGGAATCAGACAAAATGCGATTTGGACACTTATTATAGTGGAGACGATCTTCTTAGGGCTACTGCAGCTGGTGACAGCACCCTCAGGGAGTACTTACAACATTCATTGACTTCTGGAAGTGGATCAGGATTACCATTATTAATTCAAAGGACTTTGGCAAAACATATTTCTTTGGTTGAGTGTATTGGAAAAGGACGCTATGGTGAAGTATGGAGAGGAATTTGGCAAGGAGAAAGTATTGCTGTTAAAATATTTTTCTCAAGAGATGAAGCTAGTTGGAATAGGGAAACAGAGATTTATAGGTAAAAAGTTATAAACATTTGAGTAATATATATTTGGTTTTTATTTATTTTTAGTACTGTTTTAATACGTCATGAAAGTATTTTGGGTTACATTGGGTCTGATATGACGTCTCGAAATTCCTGTACACAATTGTGGCTCATTACACACTACCATGCGTTAGGGAGCCTTTATGATCATCTCAATAGGACACATTTAACTCACCAACAAATGTTACGAATTTGCATTTCCATAGCTAATGGACTTGTGCATTTACATTCGGAAATATACGGCACTCAAGTAAGATTAGACATTTTCTGATCATATTTTTAGTTTCAATTTTAATATTTTAAATCAGGGAAAACCTGCAATAGCACACCGAGACATAAAAACGAAAAACATTCTTGTTAAAAGCAACGGAACCTGTGTTATAGCAGATTTTGGTTTAGCAGTTACACATACACAAGCCACAGACAGCTTAGATGTTGGATCGAATCCACGTGTTGGTACCAAAAGATATATGAGTCCAGAAGTATTAGATGAAACGTGAGAAAATAATTTAATTAAAAAATTTGTTATGTTTAAATTATGTTTTGGGTTGTAGGATACGAATGGATTGTTTTGATGCTTTTAGAAGGGTGGATATTTATGCCCTTGGGCTTGTATATTGGGAGGTGTGTCGATGTACTTTAAGCAATGGCATTGCTGAGGAGTACAAACCACCATTTTTTGATGTTGTACCAAATGACCCCAGTTTTGAAGACATGCGAAAGGTCGTTTGTGTGGATCAACAAAGACCAAATTTACCCAATAGGTGGTTTAGTGATCCAGTAAGTTATTTTTCTAATCATGTAGGTTGATTAACACGTTCATTGCCAGACTCGCGATATCGTATAGAAAAAAAAAAAAAAAAAAAAA